CCCAGGCAGGGAGGCTGAGGGGGGAGCAGGGGAGCCCGGGCAGGGAGGCTGAGGGGGGAGCAGGGGAGCCTGGGCAGGGAGGCTGAGGGGGGAGCAGGGGAGCCCGGGCAGGGAGGCTGAGGGGGGAGGAACCCCAGCCAGGTTGGCCTGCAAGCTGGGGAAGGAGACCACTCAGTTGGAGGAGCGGCGACGGCACAGGTGCTGCTGACAGATGTCGGCCTGAGCCTGAGAGCTCCCGGTGGATCTGGCACCTGCTGACCCTAAAACTGACCGTCCAAACCAGGACACTCTGAGAGTGAAAAGAGGGTTCTGTGAATGATTGGGCCAGGACAGCAGAGTAAATCCGAACCGTCCCAGACACACAGGAAGTTTCCACCCAGGTACTGGTGCCCTTGGCAAGGTGGGTTCGGGCAGAGATAGAGGCAAAGGCCCGACTGCAGCGGGGCCGGGGCCACAGGGGTGGGGAGGGGGGAGGAGCAGCCGGGAAGTGACTCGAAGGGTCTGCTGTAAAGGCAAAAAAATGGTGGGGCACCCCGACAATGAAGTACCTCAGCAAGAAAAAGAATAAAGCTATTAATTCATACAACATGGATGAATCTTCAAGTAATTATGCTGAAAGAAAGAAGCTAGGCCAAGAAGAGTACATAGTGTGTGATTGCTTTTATTTAAAAAGGAAATGCAAACTGATATATCAGAAAGCTGACGGTGGTTGGCTGGGGAGGGGTTGGGGGGTTACCCAGGGTACAAGGAAACTTTTGGGGTAATGTGCTCATTATTTTGATTGGAAATTGATTTATGGGTATATGCATGTGTTAAAACTTATCAAGTTGTACACTTTAAAAAGGTACTGTTTTCTGTGTGAGGTGTGTGTTATATTCCTCAGTCAAGCAGTTTTCAGAAATGTTTTGATGAGAAGGGGACTGGACAGATGGCAGGGCAGTAGCAGGCGGAGGTGTGGTTTCATTCTCAGCATGAACAAAGCAGTGCTGGGGAGAAGAAAGAGACAGGAAGCCTAGCCAGGGACCCCGCTGTCATATGCTGAGGGGGTTAGGGTTCATCCCACTGGCCTGAGGGTCTCCACATTCCTGTGCAAAGGAATTGTCGGAAGAACCTGTTACACATGCAGCGCCCACACCACATCCCCTGGACTGTCCTCCAGCACAGCCCAGGTGGGACAGCCCAGGGGAGACAGTTCAGGTGGGGCAGCCCAGGTGGGACTGCCCAGGTGGGGCAGCTCAGGTGGGACTGCCCAGGTGGGGCAGCTCAGGGGAGACAGCCAAGTGGGGCAGTCCAGGTGGAGTAGCCCAGGGGGGACAGCCCAGATAGGACAGCCCAGGGGAGACAGCCCAGGTAGGACAGCCCAGGGGGGGCAGCCCAGGTGGGACAGCCCAGGTGGAGTAGCCCGGGTGGACAGCTCAGGTGGGGCAGCCCAGGTGGGACAGCCCAGATGGGACAGCCCAGGTGGGGCAGCTCAGGTGGGGCAGCCCAGGTGGAGTAGCCCGGGTGGACAGCTCAGGTGGGGCAGCCCAGGTGGGACAACCCAGGTGGGACAGCCCAGGTGGACATCCCAGGTGGGACAGCCCAGGGGAGACAGCCCAGGTGGGAGAGCCCAGGTGGGGCAGCCCAGATGGGACAGCCCAGGTGGGGCAGCCCAGGGGAGACAGCCCAGGTGGGGCAGCTTAGGTGGGACAGCCCAGGTGAGGCAGCCCAGGTGGGGCAGCCCAGGTGGGGCAGCCCAGGGGAGACAGCCCAGGTGGGGCAGCCAGACAGGCTGACAGGCACAGCCTTGGTGTTTCCAGGGTCTGCTTTCTGCAGGGGGAGGAGGGGAGGGACTTCCCAAGCCACAGTGCCCAAGGCAACCTTCAGCAGCAGGAAGGGAGTCAGTAGATAACCCTGCCTCCGCCTTTGGAGGAACACAGGTGCCTTCTGTGGGTTGCTCGGAGGTCCCCAGTGGAATACAGCCCGATCGCCCACAGCAGTGACCAGCTCAAGTGCCTTTGGGGGTTTTCTCGGGCCCTGACTCTTGGGAGCACCTTACCAAGTAAGCAGCCCGCACTGGAGTCCTTATCTCGGCACTGCTCTCAGGACCCCACTGAGCCAGGTGTGCCTTGGCTGTGCGCGCAGGCTTTCCTGCGGGGAGGCTCGGGACGTACTGGAGCGAAGCCGCCTTCGGCAGTGAAGACCGAGGGTTTCACCAGGCGGGTGACAGCCAGGTCTGCTCTGGCAGGAAACTACCTCCCTGGCAACAGGAGGTGGAGGCTGGAGCAGCAGGACAGGAAGCAGGGAGGCTAATTAGCAGGCAGTTACAGATGTCCCAGCGGGAGGTGCGATGACAGAGCCCATCAAGCACCTCTTTGTGAAGGTCCTTTGATTTATAGTGTAAGCTTCACGCAGGAAGGGGACTGAGCCTTGTTTAACATCCCAGTGCTGTGGTTTCACAAAGCCTGTGTTTCCAGCATTCAATTTCTCTTCATCTTCTGCTTTAAAATTTGAGACATCAGTCTGACACCACGCATCTCTGTTTTGTTAAATTTTGTGTTTCCAGGATCTTGATGTTGGTGCGAAGAACGTGAAGCTTTATGTCAACAAAAGCCTCATCTTTGATGGCCAGTTAGACAAAGGAGGTGGGGAGGCCCCGGCCAACCAGAGCATCCCAGTCGGCCTGAAAAATGAGCAGATTGAGGGGGCGGAGAACGGCTCTAATGCCCCCTCGGAAGAAGGCAGAGGTGCCCAGAGGATGGCCGGCACCGCTGGGGACGAGGATCCCAGCACCACTGGCTCACAGCCAGCCCGAGTGGCCGGGGATGTGGCGGTTTCTTCACCAGGAACTTTATTTGGCGAAAGGATGAATTCTCCTGGTTGCATAAAAGACAGTTTGTCCAAGTTAGAGGACGATGTCAGCTCGTCAGCAGCCCCAGCCTCCGAGGGGGGCGAGCGTGCCCCTGCCCCCAGGCCCCCAGTGGAGTGCCCTCCGCTGGGCCAGGAGCTCTCACAGACTCTGCAGCTGGAGAACCTCCCAGGCAGGAAGGTCTCTGCACCAGGGAGAACCCCCGCCTGGCTACAACCCTCTTGCACAGGGAAAGGCAGGAGGCAGGGAGGCGGGAAGCCCAAACCCCTCTGGCTGTGTCCTGAGAAGCCACCGGATGGGACGGAGGGGCTTGTGCCGGAGGACGAGGACGTCTTCAGGGAGGGTCCTGCGGAGGCCGGGGATGAAGGCCCCAGGCGCGAGCCAGGGCGGGCCAGCAGCCGGAATGCCATCTCAGAGGACCGAGCCCCGAGGGTGACCCCCAACGCCTGCAGGGATGACTTTGACATCTTTGAGCAGCCCTCCAACAGGGAGCGCCCCGCTAGTGGGAGGAGGGCCCGGAAGGATGCCCTCAGCAGCAGTCACGGTGATGGGCAACCAGCCAGCAGAGGTAAGCTCGGGGAGCAGTCTGACTGGGGCTCATCATCCCTGCAGGAGGCTGCTGACTGGCACCAGCCACTCAACTCCCGAGCCTCAGTTTCCTCATCTGCAAAGCGAGGGGTTCTTCTTAACCAGGGCTCACAAATCTACTGTCTCAGGAGCCACATGGGAGGCAGCAGTGAGTGAAATGGGCAAGACAGACTTTGCCTGTTAAACTCGTAGATATATTTGTCATTGCCACCAAGACGTCCCTTTGTTCATTTTTCTTTCAATACATGACTTTTCCAACCTAGACCTGGTTATTCTACCTCTGATAGACATTCGTCTCTAATTACTTCACTTTATTCTTAACTGTACTGTTAGGAAAATAACGCTGTATGATGATAAATAGCAGTTGACACTTCCCTGGATTTTGGAAGGACATTAGGGAGTGGTGAGGACTGTGGCTAACTGGAGCGCACAAGCCCAACTAAAGGGGGCAGCTGCTGCTTCACTCAGGCTCTTCTGGCTTTCAGGACTGCAAGGCCAATGTGCCAGATCTCTTTTCCTTTTATTAAGAGAAATCAGAAATATATCAGACTATTCTAATTTTCACCATTGGTGACTTATCTGCTGAACTTTGCAGTAGATCATCTCTAAGGCTGTGAAAGGAGGGTACCAGAGACTGGACTTCTGAATATTTCCACTTAGATTTGGCTATTGGGAGTGTAGCATAGCAACAAGATGTCAAAACATTTGAATTCAAACTCCGCTACATGTAGATCTGGGACTTACAGAGCAGGCCCTTGCACACGCTGAGCCTCAGCAGCTTTGTCTATAAAATGGGGATGAGCTGTGAGGAGTAAGACGATGGCTTCGCAATAGTAACAGAGCCTGGCCCGTGGCAAGTGCTCCACGAGTGGCGGCCATTTTTTTCAACATTAGCTTGTCGGTCCTTTATTTTCCACAAAGCACTGGGACCTACCAAGGCAGGGCTCACCCCTAGTCCTCTGAATTTAACCCCACTCCACATTACATAGGAGCACACCAACCCCCATCGTGCGTAAGCCTGGAGCCTCTCTGAGCCTCAGTTTCCTCACCTGTAAAATGCTGCCAGTAATACCCATCTCATGGGTGCTGGGGATCAGATGAGATCACCCACGTGCAGTGCCTGGCACAGTGCCTGGCACACAAGTGCACCAGGAGATGCTAGCTGCTGCTCTTTATCGTCACCACCATCGAGGTGTTGGCACTGCCCGCACTCTGTGGCTCTACCTCATGGTGTATCTGCAGGTGAAACCAATGTACAGTTGCCCCTTGAACCTCTCGGGGGTTCGGGGTGCTGACCCCTTGTGCAGTCGAAAACCCACATATAACTTTTGACTCCCCCAAAACTTAACTACTGTCAGCTACTGTTGACTGGAAGCCTTCTCAATAACAAGCAGGCGATGAACCCATATTTTTATGTTATATGTATTATGTAGATATTCTTACAATAAAGTAAGCCAGAGAAAAGAAACTGTTATTAAGAAAATTATAAGGAAGAGAAAATACATTTACTGAAATAAGTACTGTACGTATTTACTGAAAAAAATCACATGTAAGTGGACCCACGCGGTTCAAAGTGGTGTTCAAGGTCACCTGTATATATGTTTTAGTGAGTCACGCAGCCTCTACTCCATCGTTGGCTAGCAGACAGAGCCCGAAGGCCTACACTTAGAAATGTGACGAGTTTGGGCCTCCTTCAGACCCTCACATGTCGCTTAGGACACGGACGCTTAGGGCTGCCCGTAAGACTTGCGTGTCTTCCTGCGGGGCTCCCAGCCGAGACTTACCCAGTGCTGGGTGTCGGGGCCAGCCGAGTGGGAGAGGAGAGGAGAGCCAGGGAGCTCTTTGAGAGCAGACACTGTCTTATCTGTGATGGGATCTCAGGCCCAGGTGTCTGCTCGTGGTGGGTCCTCCGAGTGTGGGATGGCTCCGTGGCTACGTGCAGGCTGCAGTGCACCAGGCTCTCATCCAGGCGCGGCACTCGGACCAGCTCATGCACCCTCCTGCCAGCCCCTTTTACAGCTAAAGGAGATACGAGCTTTAAGCAGCTTTCTTCAGGTCACACAGCCAGTAAGGGCAGAGCAGAATTTGAACCCTTGTCCTGCTCCAGCATCCGTGCTTGAATCACTACCCCACGTGCCCTGTTTCCGCAGCCATCATCAGCCCCCGCCCGGCGGAGCCAGGCAGTTCCGAGCCTCCCTGGTGAACAGGCCCACAGAGCCTCTGGGAGTTATTCTAATGTGTCCACGTTTGGAAGACTTTGTCTCCCTTTAATTTCTTTCCAGGCATTTCACTGGTTGGCTCAGTGACACATTAAGAACTGAGCCCTTCAGATTTAATGCTTGTTAAACCAGTCGTGCTAAAAAGGAAAGTCGCTTTGAAATCTTAAATTGCCCATTACATAGAGCCAAAGCCCATGCCATGCCCTCAGGAAAGGTGCAGGCCCCCCGCTCCGTAGGTGCTGCCAGGATGCATGACTGCCAGACTCCTCCCTGGGCCTGGAATTGGCTCCATAAACAGCCTGGAGATTCTTTTGTGCCACAGAGCACCTCACTGTCATGACACCTGCATTTCGGAAGTGTCGTTATCAGGGGTCAGTTGGCTACAGGTGAATGAAATCCCGTCAGCCCAGTTTGAGCAGTAAAGGGGGTGTTATTTGGCGAATGTTTGAGGCGCTCCTAGACCCCCAGAGGCAGGGAGTGTAGCTGCTCACCGCATGGGATTGGGAAGAGGAGCCAGGACGCTGGCCAGCACCAAGGAAGCTTCTCCATGACTGTCCAGGCCCTACCTCTGCTTCCCACTGGCCCTTTCCCTCACCCTCCCTCAGGGTCGGCTTTCTCTGCCTTTGTGCACACAGCAGGAAATGGCCTGGCAGCCCTAGGTGACTCAGTGTTCTGGCTCTGTCGCCAGCAGCCAGCTCCATAGTCTCAGGGGAGAAGTTGATTGGCCGACTCGGGTCAGGTGTCCACTCCTTGTTCATCAGCTACAACTGGAGGGCAGTTCACCGAGAATAAACATGGCTCTGTTATATCTCACTACGTACTTTCTCATTTCCTGTTTTAGTAGCAATTAGCATACGCCTCATGGTGGTGCCATTGATTTTTATAAACTCAAGTGCAGAACTCTGTAGCTCATGTTAGTCTCAACCAAGGAATAGTTTTGCATCTTCAGTCCCGTCTTCTCATATCGGTGGTCCCTCCCAGACTGTGTTGACTACAGACTCACGAAGCCGCAGCTTTCTGTTGCCCTTCAGACTTGCAGGTGGGGTTGACCAAGGACCACACACTGACCCTAGCAGCTCCCTGACCCCAGGGACTTGCGAGTAGAGTGTTCTCCTGCAGAGAGGGGAACCGGCCCTCAGCGGTGGTCCCATCTGCGAGGTCTAGCAGAGCATCTACACCTCTCTGCTTTTAAAACCCAGGGTACCTCTTGGGGAGCAGAGGTCAGAAAGCAGATGTGGGGTGAGAGCAGAGCCCTGCCTTTCTTCTCACCCAGGCAGACACACAGGCGAGGCCCTGACACAGGACGTGGGTGCTGTCTCCTCAGTGCCCTTGCAGACTGCCCCAGGCCATTCATTCCAGCCCGTGGAAATCAAATCACAGTTAGCGGAGCACCGATGATCCATATGGGAGTCCCTTCTGCAGGTGTTAAGCCTCACGCCTGGGAAAGGGTGGAGGAAACTCCTGGGTCTTTTTTAATGGCAGATGGGAAGGCGGGGCGAGGACAGGTGCAGGAGAACTGGCAGGTGGAGAGGGAGTCCCTCAGCCTCCAGGTCTGAACACGGGTGTAATGGTGATGCCAGCTGTCCATCCCTTTGCTGGCAAACATTACTGAGCACTTCCTCGTGCCAGGTTCTGTGCCAGGCACTGGGACGCAGCAGGCAGCAGGGCAGAGCAGGCCTCTCCACGAGGAAGGTGACGAGAGGAGCCAGCTGCCTGGGGATCTGAGAAGAGAGCATTCCTGGCAGAGGGCACAGCAAGGACAAAGGCTCTGAGACGAGAGGCGACCTGGCGTGTCACAGGGAGGAGAGCCACGTGGCTGGAGCAGGAGGACATGGGAGAGGGTGGGAGTGCGGTTGGGGAAGTTAGTGGGGCCAACTCGGGGCTCTGGGGCGTGGTGAGGAGTTGGATTTTCTTTGATTTTCCTGTTCCCAGCGTGGAAGAGATAATGGCACTCAGAGGGGATGGTGACAAACACCATTTAGGCACATGGAGTCTGAAGTGATAGTGTGGACATGTCTGGACCCCCCGAGGGGCCTTGGATGGTGGTGCCTGGGGCGGGGGCGGGGGTTGCCAATGTGACACTGGGCAGTGCCTGCGTGGGAGCCAGGGCCAGACGTGGGGACTGGGGAGGAGGGAGGAGCTGCGGGTGGAACGTGGAGAACCTGGCAGCAGTGTCTCCTGAGCCCGAGGGGAGCGTGGCCTCGGACAGCAGTGTGGAGCGAGCACTGAGAGAAGACTGCGTGCGTGGGGTCCCTGTGAACCCGGAGGGCACCGCTGCAGTGGAGGGCTGTGGGATTCATGGATGGAGGGATGGAAAGCCACCAGGCATGCTACCTCTGACACAGCTGGGTCCCAGGGCCCCAGTGATGCCACCAGGAGCCTCTCATTGCCCTGCTTCCTTCTCAGGCCGGCCCCTCACAGGCAGCAAGGTGGCCACAGGCAGCGCCGCTCCATCCACGCTCAGCAGCTCCAGTTCACGGAGAGCCCCTCTCTCCCGGGTTCCTTTCATGAGCCCAGCTTGCAAGGATACTGTCCACATTTGCTTGATCCGAATGGCCTGCAGGTGGGGGGTCCCCAGGGGAAAGTCAGGGTGCTGTTCCTAGAAAAGGGAAGAGGAGTTTGAGGCAGCAAAACAGTAACTGGTCAGAGAAAGCAGGCCGCAAGGGATGGGAGGCGGGGATGGGCGCAGCCACTGCAGTGGGCGGAGGGAGCGCAGATCCGAGGCCTCCCTCTGCCTTCAGGGCGGAGATTTACGCTTGTCTGCAGGCTGAGAGGGCAGTGGTGGGGAAGGAGTGATTGAAGATTCTGGAGAGAAGCGGTAATTGATGGGGCCAGGCCCCCTAGGAGACAGGCAGAAAATGGAGTGCAGGGCACGGCACCAAAAGAAAGGAGAAAGAGCAGAATGTCAGTGCCAGCTGCTGTTTTTTCAAGAATGACACCCTTAGGTGGCACTTAGCCATGGCGTGGCCCCGAGGATGGCCCCTGCTCCATGTGCACTCGGGCTCTTAGATTCTGTGAGTGGAGCGGGGCCTTCAGACGCCAGCCCTGGGCATGGCTGCGGCTCCTGGAGCCAGTTAGGCCGTGTGTGGAAGTAAAGTCCTCGCCGTGCAATGCACCTGGGTTGTTTCAGCGTTTTCCTGATTATAAAAATAATACATGTAGGGAACTCAGAAGATAAGGTGACAAGGAAGAAAATAAAAGCCCTTCCTACTCCCACCCCGAAAGATCATCCTCGCACGTCGGTGCAAGCTGCCCACATAGGATGGGCATCGTTTAAAATGGCACAGCTGGCTCTTTTCCTTTTACCTTCTTTTCCGAGCCCTTTGCCTGTCACTAAGCAGTTTGAAAACTCCGTGCAAGTCACGTGACTGGTAGCCCGAGGCGCAGGCTCCTGGGTGGCTGACTCTGAGGCCACAGGCAGCGGCTTCGCACTGGTTGTGTGAGGCTCTGAAGTGGGAAAACTTCCAGCAAAGGCTCCAACACAGCCATACCGGCCTCCCTTGATGTGCATGAGGTGGCATGCTTAGAAAATTCAGTGCAGATTGAACAATACTTTGCTTTTTGTAAAACAGCTAGGTTCCAGACTTGAGAACCGGAAACAATTTTCTACCAGCCTGAATGTGTGTGACAGGAGACCGTGCTCTGTGCCCGGACCGTCCAGTGCAGTGCGGGTGTTAACAGCCCTGCCCACCGGCCATGCCAGGGGGGTCAGTGGGCATTGAGACAGCCAACAGCAGCCTCGCCGCTTTCTAGAATGTTCCCCTGAGGGCGGCTCCACCCAGCCGAGAGCCACTGGATGAGACACTTTGGGTCCCACTTCCACACCTGTCACTAATGGGCCTCCCCCCTCCTGTGCCCTTTCTTCAGGAGAAGCCTGGTGCACCAGGCCGCCGCCGCGGCCCCAGTGGCGCAGCGAGCAGGAGCACACGCTGCAGGAGTCCTGGAGCTCCCTCAGCGCCTTTGACCGCTCCCACCGGGGGCGCATCTCCAACATGGAGGTGCAGGGGGACATCCTGGACGAGTTCCTGCAGCAGCAGAGGAGCGGCCGGCAGGGCGCCCAGCCAGCCCCCGGCAGGGAGCAGCCGGAGCCGGAGCCCCGGGCGGGGCCGGACGACTGCAGAGACGCAGGCGACCCCAGCGACTTTAGAATCCCCGTCTTGCCCTACGGGCGGCACTTGGTCATTGACATCAAGTCCACGTGGGGGGACAGGCACTACGTGGGCCTGAACGGAATAGAAATATTCAGCTCCAAGGGAGAGCCCGTGCAGATCGCCAGCATCCAAGCGGACCCCCCCGACATCAACATTCTACCAGCCTATGGGAAGGACCCCCGGGTGGTCGGCAACCTCGTCGACGGGGTGAACAGGACCCAGGACGACATGCACGTCTGGCTGGCCCCCTTCACGCCGGGCAAGTCCCACTCCATCTCCATCGACTTCTCGCACCCTTGCCACGTCGCCCTGGTCAGGATTTGGAATTACAACAAGTCGCGGATCCATTCCTTCCGCGGTGTGCGGGACGTCGAGATCCTGTTGGACGCACAGTGCATCTTTAACGGAGAAATCGCCAAGGCCTCCGGAACCCTGACGGGAGGTACAGTATGTCTGTAAGGATGTTCCCGAAGCCCTACCCGCTGCTCGCTGAGGCTCCGAGGGAAAACCAAACCCACAGGCTGCCAGTGGCGATGGGTCTCTCCCCTCCTAGGCCTGGCCCGCTCGCCGCCTTTGCAGCGTGGGTGTGCGGGCGCTGACCTCATTAAACTCCTCGGCTGGGGACGGGCCTGAGCCCGAAAGGGGGACCCTCCTGGGAGGTGCTGACTGAGGGAGCACACTCAGGAGAGCCCAGTGCGGGGAGGGGTGCAGGACATGGAGCGGGAGCTGAGCAAGTGGTGTCAGGGGAAGCCACCGCAGCCTGACCGAGGGCAGCCCGGAGCATGAACTACAGGTCTGTCCTGCCTGAGGCAGAGCGCTGGGGGTTGGAGCCCTGCAGGCTCCCCGCTAGGGGCCTAACGCTCATGCCCTTCCAGCAGGGCTCCAGTCCTCCCCGCCGGGGGTCAGCGGGGATCTGTGAGCACCCACAGCATCTGCTCTGGTGCCCACCCACGCGTGTTTCAGGCCCATCTCAGTGATTCTCCTCACATAGGTCCCTTGTTAGATCTGTGCCCTGTGTGGTGCTCAGGTACGCGGATCCATTTGCCGATGTGAAGAATCCACGTCCCTGCACAGATGGAGAACTGTCCGTGGCTCGGGGTTTATGGCACAGAGCTGATGGGTCTGGGCCCTGACCCACAGCTCAGTGGGATTTGGGAGAGTTGACCCTTGTCTTCCTGGTAACCCCTTCAGCCCCAGAGCACTTTGGAGACACAATCTTATTCACAACCGACGACGACATTCTCGAGGCCATATTCCGCTCGGATGAGACGTTTGACGTGGACACGGAGGGCCCGTGCAGCCTGCCGTGCGAGGAGGCCCTGCAGAGGCCCAGCACCGCGGACGGCGGCACGGAGGAGCGGCCCTACACCCAGGCCGGCCTGTGGGCCCAGGTAGGACGG